CACACACACACACACACACACACACACACACACACACACACACACACCACACACACACACACACACACATACACACACACACAGCCCTGCGTCTGTATAATAAATATGGTAACCAACGCAGTAAAGTAAAGTAAAGTAAAACCAACAAACGCAGCAGCGCTGGCGCGGCTTGTAGTGAGAGCACCCGCCGCGCACCGTGTATGGATGTACACATTCTTACAATTTTGCGATGCAGTCGCGGTGCATGCACAGCACTGGTCGTCTCTAGCGCTTTTCTTTGTTATGCGAATGTGTGCATCCGATTTAGGCGCGCAGCGGGCGTGCACACATACTTATAAGGCGCGCTGCTACGTTTGAATGGACTTACCATACGAGATTTTTTTAGTTTATTTTTTAAATTATTACAGTAAGAACTTGTATTTATATTGTATCAGGGTATGGAAGTCAGTGCGACAATCTTTCTTTTTTATAATATTTTTTGTTTTTTATTATTATATCAAGTGACGGGACGCACAAGTCGTGTGCCTGATGGAAAGCTACACGCCTATCCATAACAGCTGCAGTGCCACTCAAAGCTTTAAATCGCAAAGATCTGAAGGGTACTGCCACTGCGCCTATCACTCTGACACATAAGTTGACAAGTCCCATGTGCCTGTAACTTCACCAGCACCCTTACCCTTCAAAACCGGAATACAGTAATGATCGTATTACCGCTTGGCGACAGAAATAGGTAAGGTGGCAGTACTTCCCTGGACGAACCCTTCCACGAGGAGCTGTACTGCTGTTAAATACTCCATAATGTTCAAACATCCATACACACAACAATAAACACTGTACTATTTGATGTCATTTTTAAACAGGGAGAAACTGCTTCGATTCTATAATTAATGGCGCGTGGGACGACTCACATTAAGCAACGCGAGTGCACTGCGAGATTATGCGAATGTATGCGTCTGTACACGGCGAATGACGGGCGTGTACACATACAAACTGAGCTGCTATTTGTGTGGAGTTATCATATTTATTTGTCTTATTATACTATGCCAAAAAGGCATCTAAATTGCGCAACGAACTTCATGTTGATTTGGCATACTGGCGCCATAATTTCAAGGTACAGCTCCCATACCTTTTCTACATAAGTTTTGATTATAGTTACCCCTCCCCTATCAACCTCTTGGTTATGCGGGAAGGGCACTTAACCTGTACAGGAACCTTGTAAGTTCAGGTTCTGACCACAGATCAGCCAGTGCGCAGGGTTGTCACAGACCGTTGTCACTGACTTTATCCGGTTCTCAAGAGGCTAGTGGCTTGAGTGAGCAGCCCAAGGTGCACGTACTGTTCATTTCAGGGTACAAAATGAACTTACCTTAACTTTGATTCCAGAATCCAACAGTAGTTTGATAAGCTCGATATTCTCGTTCTCGATTGCAGCAATGAGAGCCGACCGGTTCAAAGGGTCCACGCAGTTGATATCGAACACATCCTCGTTCCTTGAGTATTGATCTATTAACCTGGACAAAACATACAATAGAATAATAAACGTGCCTTGAAATCATGCTTATAAGGGAAACTTAAGTGATAATTCTCATAGTCAGCGACATTTTCTTGATTACGATATAATATTTTAAAATTATCATTGCCTATCGAAAAGTCACTAAAATGTTATAGTTTCTCGTCATTAACACCACTAAAGGTCGCTTCTGAGAACAAGTTTTATGACATAGTCCGCCACCCTGGCCAAATGGAAGTTGGCGATTTAACACGTTTGGTCCATCGACAAACTTGTGGTGATAAATGTCTGGGCATGGTCCTAAATTGGCGAAAGGATCTAATAATAGTAAAAAAAAATTTATAATTAAAAAATAAAATGGTCATTTCAAGAAATGGGCATATCAAGAAGTGGTCAATTCAAGAAGAAGTCAATTTCAGAAGTAGTTATAGTAGTACGAGAAACGACAACATCTTCATGTTGTCGTTTCTCGTTGTGGTACTGAACCGTCGAAAGGGTAAGCAGCATGGTTGTCTAGAGCAGTTGCAGCACCATTCACAGCTTTAAATTAAATGATCTGAGGAGTATTACCACTGCGCCCATCACCCTAAGACATAAGTTGACAAATCTCATGTTACTGTAACCACCAGCACTCTTACTATACCAGAACGCAGTAATGCTCACATTACTGCAAGGCGGCAGAAATAGGTAAGGTAGCAGTACTTCCCTGGACGAACTCTCTTAACACACGGGGCCTTTTGTTTCCTTTTTACAGTTTACGTAAAAAGGTAATAAAATGTCCCGAGAAAGGAAGGAGAAGGGCAAGAAACAAAGGGCTACTGTCACACATTAAAATTGATTCTCTGACTCTGAACTGAACTCAGAATGACACTGCTATTATATATGTCCGTAGCAATCTACGGACAGGCGTGTGTCCCGTCACTTGCTATTATAAGAATAGCTTCAATAATGGGACGCACCCTGAACCCTCAGACTTTAAATTGGTTAGGCCGGAAATTTAAGATCAAGATTTCTGAAAGTATTTTGTACCATTCACTATTGAGCGCAATCTTGCATTTCTACCATACCTGTCTAAAGTAAAGCTGTAGGTGTCACATCTTAATTCTCTTTATACAACACCCAAAGCATTAGTGTAAACATTAAAAACCGTTGTCGTATATATTCAGGGTTATATGTAAATACTAACAACCCTGCAGGACTGTATTACTAACATCGCAAACAACGACTTTTGTTTCAAAACTTTTAATAATTCACTAGCTTGTATTAATTATTATAACAAAGATCGAAACAAAAGAATTTTTTTTGTTGTCATGGTACGTAAAACGCCTTGCCATTCAATAAACTTAAAAATTACAACTTTAGCGACATCTCTTGTCAGCGATGGCAGCTGTAAAGGTACCTCTCTGAGTGAAGAAATAAATTTCTCACAAAATCGTTTAAAAAAACAAAAACAGATCAGCAACAAACATATGGAAAAATTCGTGAGGTCTATTGGTTCGTTCCGTTGTATAATTGGCAGAGCAACTGACACGGATTGCTTGTGAGTGCTGGTTCGAATGAATTTTTCTTAGAGTTTCGATCTTTATTATAATAATTAGAACAAACTAGTAGAGTAATTTCGCAAAAAGTAATTGAATATCAGGTAGTAAAATATCGTGGCATTCAATAAACTTTAAAATTTTAATAATTAATCAGATTTGACTTTCGTACGAAACTAAATATATGTAAATAGATCGCTCCAAACAGTGACTGATAACTCTGTGCGGTAGCAAAAGAAAGCACGCGAGAGGCGTTGCTAATACAACTTATTGATCTAAAAAAATCTCGGATACTACAAAAACTTAAAAGGTTATTTTGAGTGAATTTGTTATGTTTTATAAAAAAGCCATGGAACAAAAGTTGTGGTTTATGATATTAGTAATAGTAAGAGGTCCTGCGAGATTTACAAATAACCAGTATATACATACAACAGTCATCTAATAACCTTGGTAACAATATAAACACTTCAAAAGCATTAAAATCTCTAATTTCTAACACGTGTCATGACAACACACAAAAAGCCGGTTAAAATACAAATTGGATTTACCACTTGTACTGATTCGGCGTTCTTAACTGTCCGAATTATCGACCAGCCCTAGATTGACACATTTAACGCCTACCCTGTATTAAAAGGCTCAAGTTGTCTTGGAATTGAAATCTGTAAAATCCTCAAACTTGCGCTTATTCAACGTTTATTAAAGTTAAAATTCATTTATTTCGAGTAACAACGCTCATTGCACATAAAATTTAATCAATTTATATTAAAATTCTTATAAATATGAAATTGAAATAAAATTATATAAAATCCTAATAAAATAAAATGAATGAATGAATGAATGAAATATTCTTTATTGTATATTAAAAATTACAATGACGACACGATAATGAAGCAATGTAAGTGTCACAGAGTCTAATCTACAATAGGCGGCCTTATAGCTAAGTAGCAATTTCTTCCAGACAACCTTTGGATAGAACTTTAAGAGAAGGGTGCGAGCAAAGAGTATAGTATCGAGATCTTGGGTTTTCGTGATCGTTACACATAGGAAATGAAATTATTTTTCCGTATTTAAAGTCAACAGTTACCATGGGACCTGTAAAGGGCCCGAAACGTTGGTTTGTTTAAAAAAGCAAATAAATAAGTTTAAATGAAGTTAAAAGTCAGAATCAAAAGTTTTTAACGCTGAATTATAATAAAATTAACCAATTATAATAAAATTAATTCATACTGTTGGGCACAGGCCTTGTCTCGCAATCAAGGCTTGGACTATAGTTGCGACTTAGCCATAATGCGGATTGGAAACTTCACACACATAGTTAAATTGATTTGCAGATGTGTGCAGGTTTTCTCAAGTCTTCCTTCACTGAAAAGCTAGTGGTGAATTTCAAATTAAACTTCACACATACGTTCCGAAACTCAGAGGTTTGAAACCACGCCCTCTGTTTCAGGGGCGTAGGTCAAATACCATTACGCTATCACGGCTTTCATAAGTTCTATTCTTTACTGACACCAATATAAGAATCTTAAATGAACTCAGATTTTCAAAACTAGACCAAAAATGTTAGAGTAAGGTCGCTTTAGAAATGAAATATTTTGTCCAGATCTAGAATAGCATATACAGGTTGTACCAAAAATACCACGACAGAGCGACACTGTGGGTAAGTGAGCACTATACCTATCAGAAAAAAAATATTTGTCCTTAGTAAAAGTCTTTTTGTATTCGAGATATTGGTACTTTTTATTTTTTTGGAAAAACTACTTTCTTTCGGTTTTATGCTATTACTGCAAGGGTTAGCTCCAGATAGTTGATATTTTTGTTTTTCGGCCATTCTGAGTAGCTTTTCCAGGTACTGCAACTAATATTTTACTGAGAAATATCATAAAATATGTAAAAAATTAATAATTTGGTATATTTCGTAACCTTGTAAATAAATAAAAAGTGCCATTTTTTCGAAAACCAAAAGACTTTTACCACGGTCAATTTTTTTTTGGTAGGTATAGAGCTCGCCTACCCACAGTGTCGCACTGTCGTGGTACTTTTGGGACAACCTGTATATTTGTTTTCTTTTTAAATAAACCAAAATTTCGGACTGTTTATAAAACCCAAGCACTCTGCAACGTTCCTTTTTCGACTTTACGGAATGTCCGATAACGGCGTCGGTACAGGTAAACACAATTTAAGTTTAGTGCATATTTTATTTTTTATGTTACCTAGTAACAAAACGGAAAAGTTGTTCGCCTGATTGTACGCGACACGCCTGTCCATAACAGTTGCAGGGTCGCTCAGAGATTTAAATCGCAAAAATCTGAGGAGCACTGCCACCGTCGTCAAAAATTTCCAAGAACAAGAATTAAAGAAGATCATTTCTATGGAATAGAAGATGCAGAAGAAGTACTGAAATCCCACACCTTTTTACGGTTGCGTAGTCTCCTCTGTCAGCATGGAGAAGGTATGTTTTCTCTTCCCTGGAGAGAGGCCGCTCATAAATATTCCGGAGGTCGTGCTGGCTGTTCCGGAGAGCCTCCTGAGAGCTGCCCAGCAGCTCTTCGCGGGACCCGCGGTTCATCGTCTGTAGACAAACGAGAGTTGTTATTCACTTTGCTTTGTAGAAACAGGTAATAGCGGTGACCATAAAAGGTTTTTATGACTTATGCTTATTCCACGTTTAGACAGGAAACGCTTTAGTAGCAGTAGAACTTATGAAAGAGTTCGTGCAGGGAAGTACTGCCTACTGGCACCTTACTTATTTCTGCCGCCAAGCAGTAATGCTCGCATTACTGCGGTCCGGATTTGAAGGGCAAGGGTGCTGGTGAAATTACAGACTTTTCAACTTATGTCGTAGGGTGCCGTGCGCAGTGTCAGTGCCCCTCAGATCTTTGTTATTTCAAGCTCTGAGTGGCACTGCAACTGTTATGGGTAGGGGTGTTGCTTACGTCGTGGTGAATGTTCACTGATCCCATGGCGCCGACTCAACCGGCGAGAGGGAAACCGGGGGGGTTTTAGTGGGGTAGGCCTTCCAGTGTGGAGGAAGAGTCCCCACATAACCCCTGAGTCTCCCTGGGCTCAGGGGTATCCATAAAGATTCCCCCCGTCAAAAAAAAAAAAAAAAAAGGGTGTCGCTTACCACTAAGCGCACGACTTGTTCGTCCCCTTGCTTTGTATTATGAAAAAAATCATTACGTATTTATTTCATTAATTAATTGTCTTTCATTAATTGTAACATGGAATTACATATAATAAAATACTAACTTTTACAAAGTCATTAAATGAAATACAGTCCAAGTCTACATCTATTGTAATCACTATATTACACATCTATTTTATAGTGATTACAAAAATATAGACCTAGCAATGCTTTCAAAGTAAGCGCCCCATGTGGTTAGAAATTTACTTTCCAAATCGACGAAACTATCAGACTTGTGATCCATGCACAATGTGTTTATGTAGTCAAGAACCCTAAACATTGGCGTACGAACACCGTGTAGCTTGTTGCGTAAGCAAGTTTTAGAAGCAACAATCTACTTACCTATTAACAGCTTATTGCGTAAGTAGCTTGTAGCATTTAAAACGTTTTTTTTAATAGTTTCAGAATTTACGCTTACGCCATAATTGTTTACTTGTTTTTTAAATAAGTAGCTTGTTGCTATTTTTTCTTTGTTGAACTCTTTCACAAGGAGCTCTACTGCTTAAATTATTAAAAAATGTTTGTTGAATAAGTTACTTTTTGGAGCAATAAGCTACCTATGCTATAATTACACGTAGTAGCTTGCTTATGTAAGTAGATTGTTGGTTTTAAATTTAAACCACATGTGTTGTTTATTTGTTTATTTTTCGTTTCTCAGTCGGTAACAAAAAATTGCCAGTAATATTACCGGCAATTCCCTACATTGAGATTTATAATTGTCTTGACTGTCTGATATTTATTACTTATTTATTTAAAACTACAGCTTAAAGTGTGTTGCACGAAAGGAGTCTCCCCGTAAGACGTAACACTGTACTGTCTGGTTTCCTGCACCCTGAGTAAGAATCGGCGGGTACCGCCGAAATCCTGTCACCATGATAGAGAAAGAAAGAGAGAGACTATAGCATTATTAGTTTCACAAGTTGTTTTGTTTTAAAAAATGAAACTTTTTATTTCGGATCCAAGTCGCGTATATTTGTTTTTTTTTTCAGATTGACAAACAGCTGACTGAGATGTTAATTTTACATAGGTTTTAACTATATTTTTGTTTTATACTTACGGATTTTAGTCGCTTTGTAATTTTCCTTTGATGTGTTAAATATTTAAAACCACATAAATCCACATAAAATTTCGGCCATTATAGTGTATTTTTTATTTGACGTTCTTTAGTTTTTTCTTATTCACTGTGTAACTTAAATTCTTTGTTATATTTGAATTATTATTGTTCGTTAGTGATTAGCTGAGTAAATGTTTTATTTTAACCGACTTCAAGAAAGGAGGAAGTTCTCAATTCGGCTGCATTTTTTTGTGTGTCGATTTCGACGATTCTTTTTTTGTTGGAAAAGGGGTATCTCAGTAGTAGCTCCATTCAAATTTGTAGAAAATATTGCACCTCTAAGGGTGGAAAGTTAGGGGATGAATTCGGCGTACTGATCTTCATTCTCTTTCCGTTAACCGGTTTCGAAAAAACTAGGCACATAGATGCAATTCCAATGAAAATAAAGCACAGCGGAAACACAAACTTTTGACGTAGGTTTTTTTAATTTTCTTCTTTCCTAGTTATCAGCCAGGTATATCCAATATTAATGTAAACTGCCCTATTGCATAGCATTAAATTAAATACCTTATTTACATATATTTAACTAAAACACATTCAAATTAACACTGCGCACAAATTGCAAAATTATTCATTGTATTTATTTTTTATTTTTAACCGACTTCAAAAAAGGACGAGGTTATCAATTCGACTGCATGTTTTTTTTGTATGTATGTTACGCGATAACTCCGGTAATTGTCAACCGATTTTCCTGATTCTTGTTTTGTTGAAAAGGGGGTACTTCCATAGTGGTCCTAATTCATTTCGAAGAAAATCATCCCCATCTAATCCCCGTCTGGCTGTTGACACATGAAGAATCCTTTTTATAAATAGCGCCTAAATTTTACTTAAGGAGCAATTATTTTAATGGTTGATTTTGCTATTTCTCCAATTCAAGGCGTTTTTCTCTGAATATACGTTGAGTAGTGAGAACCGATTTTTATTATCTCCAGTGTCAAGTCCTGTATAGTGGCGAATTTAAGGATATTTCAATAAAACTTAGCAAATAGACGTAATTTCACGTGTACTCTGTACTGAGATTATACCAGCAAATGTTTTACCTTTTACGGTTTTCTTGTCTTGGGATGATAGGCTGAATCAAAATTAACTCAGGTTAATATACTCACAGGTGTCTATAAGAGAATAATAATAAAATTAGAATTAATAAAATTTTGCTACTGGATGACCGTGTATCTCCAAATCGCTGAACCAAACTGACAGTGTGAGGTTGAATTTGCATTATTTACCGAACAAACATAGTAAATGATATTCAAACAAGAGTAGGATGTGTGCTTTAGTATCTACATACCTAATGCGTATGCCAGTATTATACAAGGTAAAGGTAAGGGTGTACGAGAATCTTTACTAGCTGTGAACAGGGTTACTTGTAAATTACCATCAATTATTTACTCAATTAATTACTAAATAAATTAAGTGTGGACATTCACTGAAGACGGTCGCCTCCAACGAACGGACGGGTGGCTTTTGCGGAGTTGGACAGTGTCCCATACGGAGCTATCCGCGTTACTGTAAAACGATGTTCTAATGCATAGGTTCCCAAAATTTTGCTCACCGTCCATTTACGCAAGATAAAAAAATTCAACACCCACCATCACAAAAAATAAGTGAAAACACGTATTTTTATATTAACTTAACACAAAAAAATAACAAAGAAAAAAGAAATTACATAGTGTAGTTTATATAGATAATTCTGTTTTTGCAAATGCGGTAGTACTCTCTGGACAGCATCTACCGCCACCCTAGGACTCTTTAGCGCCAAAGGCGGGCGGTAGGGACTTTGGGAAACTATGTTCTAACGCCACACGTGTTACTCCACTCCGGTGTTCCGCGCGAACGGTCCGAAAAACAATCCACACCGCTCTAAAACCAGCCTTAAAACTTCTAGTGACATACGTACCGGTCATACTGCGTATTCTACCGTGTACATAGAATACAACAAGTCATTTATGGTATTTACGACTAATTTGTCAAATGTTCAAAATGTGGAACTTTTTAAGGTACTGCAGTATTGTTACTTACTTTTAAAAATAAAATCTAAAACCTGTCGCTAATATTTAAAATACTTTCCCTATAGCAGTAATATAATTTCCTAGAAGGGTACTTACTTAAGTAGTACTTTAATTGAACTGGTTTTCATTAGTGACAGAGTACAGAAAAATATTTAAATAAAGAATCAACCACACTTCACACCTTTGGTGTAATAAGGCCACATCTGCAAAATGTCGTTTATTCTGAGCAGCGGACTCAGCCGCTGAACCGGTTAGACTCACTGTGTCATTTAGATACGAAGCTGCTATGTGCTATCATATGTCGCATTGCGCAGGAGGCTTTCGACATGTTGGTAGAAGACCATTACTTGCGCAGAGCGCGAAGGGAAGTGAGCGTGCATACAGTTCCGGTACCTATCTGAAACACACTTGAAAGGGTTGTAACCATAACTAGCCGTGAACAGGTTCACGGTAATGAAATGGGAAACTTCCGGTCCACAAAATTTATTAAAGAAGTAAAGATTAAAGAAAGGCTGTAACAATATAAAGGTAAATGTTAAAAAAACAGGTGTAACAGTATAAAACACTACACGTTATTATTAAGGCACTTACCCCTAAATGGGCCGAGAAACTGAATTACAGGAATAGATACATGAAGGGTGTAGACTTATAAATTATTATACGTGATTAGCTTATTAATAGCTCTGACTGTTGTGGCGGTCGAGCTGGAAGTGACCGTGGTACGAAAACAAAATGAAGAAGGAAGTGAAGGAAGATGGAACAATTCAAATTTAAATACAAGTAAAAAAAAAATGATAAGATACAAGAGGAGAGAGGCGATACAAAGAGGTGAGATAACGGTGTAAGAAGGTCACACCGTCACACACTTAAGGCATTAGTCTTCCGAGAACCGGATGAAATCCGTACAAACAGGCTGATCTGGGGTCAAGACCTGACTGGATAGAGATCTTGCTTGCACAGGTTATATTGCTGTTCTCCTATAACCAAGAGGTTGGTAGGGAGGGTCACTATGAACAAAACTTATGTAGAAAATATATGGGAACTGTTGATAGGTGACATCTAACCCTCTCCCAAAGCGCCTATTATTTTTATGATTTTTATGTGATTAAAGCACTTTTAACGTACGATCACACATGGCTTTATTGCATACTGCACCAAAGGAATTACTTCTTGATTGATCAATCTTACTCAACATTGTTGCTGCAACTATTTACTTGACAGGGTCAAACATTTAACATCACATGCATTTATCGAGTTCT